CTGCTCGATGATCCCGTTTGGGTTTCCCATTGGCGGGTTTGCCATGAATCCGCCAACACGTATCCCGAGTATGGCCAGAACGGCGACAGTGGTCACTCCAAGGGTGGCCCTGACGTTGGTGGTTGCCTGTGGATGAAATATGAGCAGCCAGTGCAGACCCGTCGAAAGTTGTAGTGGACAAGGAAGCACCTAACATGACCTTTAGACGACTCTCGTCGAGGATTATGTCAGAGAAAACTTCACGAATTGTTGGAAGATGTTTAGAATTCAAAATCCGTGAGCGAGTTTGGTCAAACTCAGATTTGAGGCCGAGAAGAAATTTGAAGGTGCATTTCTGTTCTATGATTTGACGAAATATGACAGAGTCCTCGGGATATTTCCAAGGGTACACCTCGAATAGATCTAGTTGTTGCCAATACCGAGTAAGAGTATTGAGGTATTGGGTGATGGAGAGATCACCTTGACGAAAGTCATGAAGAATAGTCTCAACAACAAATAGTTCGCTTGTATTGTCCGCACTAGAATAGATCTCACGGGCAGCATCCCAGATTTCCTTAACCGTGCCATAGAGAAGAAAATTTTGTCAATATCAAGTGCCATCGAGTTAACAAGCCAGGTCATAACCATATTATTCTCGGATTTCTAAGTTTTGTATGACGGATCTGTCGTCATCGGGAAGAAAATTTTCGCCAATATCAAGTGCCATCGAGTTAACAAGTCAAACCATAACCATATTATTCTCGGATTTCCAAGTCTTGTATGACGGATCTGTCGTCATCGGAGCTGGTGCATCACCAGTGAGGTAATCATCTTTGCCTTTGCCGCATACAAACGTCACGACTGACTGCGACCATTGGAGGTAGTTATGGCCGGTGAGTTTGTGGCTGGTTATTGTTTGAATTGCTCGGCAATGGAGACCCAGCCGCGGAGGGGTGACTAGAAGTGACATCACAAGTGAAGGAGTTGCAGACATGAGCGTACTTAGTCATTGGAGAGGAGAGGTGGCCAACAGAATGACCAGAGATGAGGTTGTGCCGACGAGGAGCACGGCTGAAACTGGCTGTGCTCGATCACGGAAGAAGCGTCGGTGCTCAGGTGCAGACAATCGCGGGAGAGGTGCGTGCGCTCGGATGCGGTCGAGGGAGACGC